GTGGTTTGCTGGAGTCCTGGACGTGCAGCCTTTCTAAATCCATCTAATGCAATTACAAGGCTGACCAAACATGGCTTCAAACCTGTGAGAAGTCATTTGGCACATCACCTTGCAGATGTTGGAACATTCTTAGGTCAACCAATAAGAGATTGCCGGTCGGATGAGGTCATCCCAAGACACTCACCTGTCAGGATCGATGGCACCCGTGTAGCTTTGCAAGACCTCGCTCCGCGTGCCAGGTGGGACCCGTTCAGCCTTTGTGCGAATGGTGCCAAGTGGGGCCCCAGGAAGGCATTGACCACCACGCAACTGGAAGCCTTTGATTGGTTCGAGGCGGGGTTGGATCTTGCGGCCTATCCAGCGTATCCGGTCCAAAGATGGACTGGGAACATATGGACGTGATTCATCGTGATTCCTTGGGCGATCGCCGATTCGACTTCCATGAGGGCGTGCTTGTGGCCGTTGATTCCCCACAATTTGATCACAGACTCCTCGAACCACGAACAGGGAGCATGCGCCAAATTGATCCATTGTGCTTCATCCTTTGGGAAACAGAACCCTGAAACAGTCAGCCCACAAATGCCCATGCAGAGAAGGCAACGCATCGGTCACCGCTGCTCATGAGGGTCCTTTCTGCGGCATCAGGATCTGGCAGCCTTCACTGAGATGATGGGTGACGATGATCCAGACGGAGAGCTGCTGGGCGATCATGGAGGGGTCCGTCGTTTTGCTTCTCCTGGGAGCGCTTTGGTGGGTCATCAAAGCGAGGATCAAACAATCCCTAGTAGGCAATCCAACTGTACGGGAATTCAACAGTATGTATGGATGGGATGCTGGCAATCTTAAGATATGAACGTGGGGGTAATGTATGGCGCAAACCCATCCCAGATGTGAGTATTATAGGACTAGCGTGTGGCCCGCCCGAACAGAGTGAGGCCCCCAAGAAAGGCGGTTTGGTGTTTTGTTTAAGACACTTGTGACTCCATTGCTCTTGCACGAAAATGCTGAAGATCAATGCATTTCATGACGGCCCCATATACTACGTTCTTGTGACAGATCAGAGCACCTTAATTATAAAAAACAATTAGGATTGGTCGGTTTTCAGGAGGGTCCCGGTTTGTGTCAACCTTACAACGTTAAACAAAAAAACACCAATCAAGTTCGCTGGTGCTCCTTCACTCACTGTAACTAGACTTTCCTGATGCTGTTTGTTTCATGTTCCGATTCCAACTTCTATCAGTGTCAGGTTGGTTCCAAAGATCGTGCAGAAATGCATCTTCCCCGAAGTGGCTCGCCGACTGCCCTCGCCTTAGTGCAAAAGAATACTGCGCGTAAATCCAAGCCGTAAGAAAACGTACCGTGAGGACTTGTTTGTGCTGACTTGTGTTGTTCAGTGGCTCCACGAATCCTAGAATGGACAGCAATGCCTCTCCATAAGATTCAACCTTTCTATCAAGGTTTGTCAATTGCCTTGGATTTTTGAGCCCTTAAGACTTTAAAGTTGTTCCGTTGTTCCTGCTTGAAGCAAAGGGGTTCATATCGAGAGTTGGGTGAACATAAAGACATACAGCTACACAGGCTGCATGGCAGACTTGAGCACAAGAGTGTCGGCCCAGTGATGGAAGAACTCAAGTAAATACTTGGAGATCCTGCATTTGAGCTGGGGCAGGATTCTTCCTTTAAGGATTTTTGTGAGTTCATGATTGATCTACAGGACCAGGTGTTCCAAAGTAGCGGTGCGTGAGTGGAGTGTGGGCATGTGATCAGGCCCCCCTTAGGCCCCTCCATGTTCGGCACCGTCCACTGGGACGAATAGGCGCCAGTGCTGGGACGTGACTTGCATCGAGCAAAGCAAGCGCGCTGCGGCACTCTTGGACGAATGCTTGCTCTTCGAGGCGGGGAAAACCCCCCCGCGGTAGAAACGACAGACACCGCCCAAACGGTGGTCACAGTCCGTAGGTCTTCAAAGACCATCCGCCGAGCCGAGCGGTGGTTGTGAGCCGCCTCGATGTCTCTCCTTGGCCACAAGCACCATGGCACCAAAGGGATCAACCAGGGGGAATCTGTTCGTAAACTCGGTGTTTTGGAAAACTATGGTCGGAAGGAAAGATAAGTCGGTGATTTCAGAGGGAATAAGTCACGATATGTCACGATCATCCGATGCCACACTACAAATCTGCTCGATCCGACCCATTCTACCCCTGTGCTTCCTGAGTCAGTCACCGCTTGTGTCGGGCAACTTCAGGAAAAGGAAGACTACTTCGATCATCTTCGATCTATTATAAGCTCAAGACATCTCAAGACCCACTACAAGCATTTAGAAGCTACCTGGTACCTAGTACATCCGCAAGGCGAACGGACATAGTACCGAACTCCTTGCACCCGATGTCATTGTGTTGTTCCATGTTGTTCCATCACCGGGCCCAAAGCGCTCCAAGAAGGCCTCACCGACCCTTCTCGAAGTGACCACCTTTGGCAGTAGAGGTAGTCTAGAGGCGTAGTTTTTGGGGCGCGTAGATGATATATGCATGGCTATACCTGGATCCTCCTTTGGGCGGAAAAAAGTGCCGGACCTCAATCCGGCAAAATTTTCCGCCGGATTCCGAAAAAACGCCGGAGACCTGAAAAAACATCCGGATCCAAGATTCTGAAAAACAGAGATGATAAAAGGTTGGATCATACACAAGCAAACTGCCTTTGCGCCGCGAGTAGTTTTTCTGGAGCACACTCGAACCTTCCTGTTCCCATTGCCCTCGCCCATCTTCCGAATGGAGCAGAAATCACAAAACAAAAGCAATTTGTGCCCAAGCAAAGACTTCCAAGAAAAAACCAAGGAGTATGTGGCAAGGAACCCCTCTTTCTCTGCAACCGTGTCTCTCAAGTGTTTTTTTAAAAAGTGGGTTGCTCTTCATGATTCTCATGCTTCTTAATGTTTCTTTAAAGCTTGCCTCAGGACGGCCCCCCCAATAAAGTAGCAGAACTCATGGTTCCTGTCAAAACTCTTCTGTGAAAAACTGTTCACAATCAAAGCCTGCAGAACACTCAGTCCAACAAAAATACGCCGGAGTTACGGGAAAATACGCCGGAGTTACGGGAAATTACGCCGGAATTACGGGAGATTACGCCGGAGTTACGACGTGCAATTTTTTTGACAACTCTCTGCAAAACATTGAGATTCTGAACAACACATGTTCCACAGCCCAAAACGTGTCCGGCAGGCTCTGCAAACCTGCGCAGCTAGAACTATATCCCAGCGCCCCGACATCCTGAAACAATGGGAGTACTGTACATTCTTGCCTATGCTCTTTCAGCTTAGGTGCACCCACTTGGGTCTTTCAACAGGTGCATCGCACTGTACCGGCTTCATCCGATTTCATTTAGAAGATCAGCTAAACGGATCTGATTGATCCAGTGTGAACCATGCTGAAACCGGTGGAATGAGAAAACAGCGGAACAGGCAAACGAGCACACTTTGCAAACAAAATCATTGCATCAGTAGTGGGTTTAACTTCAAAGAAATGCAGGCCACAAAGAATGCAAAGCCTCGAGAATCCACATAAAGTGACTTGGAAAAAGCGCCGGACCAAATCCAGAAAAACGCCGGAGTTGGAAGTCCGGCGCCGGACCCTGTAAAAGTGCCGGACTGAAGATCTAGGTATGATGATATCATCGATATTATATTGTGTAGTATGAGCAAAATGTATGTGAATGTATGTGATATGATGTGTATATTCCGGTTCTACGGCTTGTCATTCCCTCCCTCTCTTGCCTCTAGGAGGCTTGGGCTATTTATTCTCCCATTCTCCCTATGAAGATGGTGCCAGGTGGGTGAAGATGGCGCCTTCAACGAACTGCTGTTGGCCGCGCTGGAGCGCTTGCGTGTGTGTTTGCGGCAGTTTGCACCTGTGACTTGGCGATGCTGGGTGTGCGCACTTTGTAGGGGTCACTTGGTAGGTGTGCAGGTCTTTTTTGCCACCAAGGAAGTCTTCGTCCCTGCGCACTTGGTCTCTTCGTGGTACGCATCTCCCGTGCGAAAGCGCCTACTGTGGCGCTGCTGCAAGAATCATGGTCGCAGGAATTGCCCCTGTTAAACGCGTTTGGCCAACTCACGCCAGGCCTCATGGAGAGTCACTTTGTGTGTTGAGTGCGAGCTGCACTTGAAGCATTCTCACTCATACAGCACTTGCGCACTCGACGTGCAAGTAAACACTCAATTCTTTTCGGTGGGTCGTAGACCCGCAGAGCAACTGCGATGTTCGAAGACCAAGCAGCTGGGTTTATTGAAGACATTCCTATATATCAACTCGTAGACCTCCCAAGTTGTCGTTCTCCTCCCCCAGGATCGCCGCCTGCGCGGCACACTTGGAGGGCCGTGTGGCCGACGAGCAGCTCGCGCCCTTGGTGCTCCAAGAGATCTTCGCGCTGCGACGCTCGGTCGGTGGACGAGGGAGGCGGAAGTCGTTTGGAGGGATTTCACGACCACCATAGGAGGAAGCGGAAGTTCGGTTTTTTGACAGACCCCAAGATGTCCTTTAGATGGGGGTCCATATAAACCACCTCTTGGGTTCTGTGCCATCTACTCTCAATCCACTATAGGTCAGAAGGGTCAGACTAGGAAGTCCATAGGTCATATGGATGAAGTTCGGAAGGTCCACTTTTTTAGTTACTAGTTTGCATGAAGGCACAGGCAGCCTGAACCAAGGGTCTTTCGAGGGAGGGTGTTTGGTAGAAAGGAAGCTGAGGTTGAGTTTGCGGGACGGCGGACTGCAACGCATCAGAGAAGACATGAAAACATACATCCATTGCGCCTCTACATACTTTGGCCGGTTTAGGCGCCCAAATTGATGGAAGCCCAATAAAAAGGGATCCCCCCCAAGCAAACACGGGGGCTTGCTCAAAACTGTTTTCACTATATATGTATAGCTTTACCTCTCGGTGTGATTTCACGGCCTTCGGAATCTCCTTCGGGAACGCTTCGAATACGCCGAGGCATGGCGCCCCACTTACAGGGCCCGCGGCTGCACCTGGAGGACGGCCGGACTCGGCCGGTGTTTTGGGGAGAAGCGCAAGAGGCAAGTGGGAAGAAAAAGGACGCAAAACACCCAACTCTCCCTAGGGATCCAAGCACCTTCGCAGAAGGTGATTGGAGGCACTGATATGTAGGTTTGGAGGGTCCAAGTACCTGTACCTTCTGAGAAGGTACTTGGATCCCTAGGGTCTATAAACCAATGACCAATACCTCCACACTTTTTGGGGGAGATTGTCATGGATGGTCTCCATTGAAACAGGCCGTGGTGGGCAGAAAGAACCCTTGGGCCCATAGCCACTGGGACCTTCCCTCGAAGCGATGCCGAAGGATGACCTTCAAACCGGAGGAAACTTGGACACTCTTGATCAGAAGGCTCTCCAAGGGAGTAAATGCCCATTGACCCTGCATGAAACGGCGACCGTGTCTGAAGGGGAGATACTTTGCCAGTCCCATGGAGTCAAATACATTAATGTAACTTGGAGATACTTCTTGCGAGGGGTAGAAATCAGAATCAAAGAGGGATCAGGTTTCGCTGTTGATCAGCCAATCCGGGCCCCGCAGGAGATGGACTTGCTCGAGCGCTTCATTGAAGCTCTACCTGAGAGGCCTTCAAGCCAAAAGCTCGGAGCCGTTTGTCATCTCAGTGTTCCGTCAAGAGACCAAAATAAAACACCCAAAGGGAACCAAAGAAGATATGTACCACAGATAGTTTTAAGCGTACGAGTCCGATCGCACAAGCAAACTGTATAACCCAACCAAAGCGCTGGGCTGAAATGCTTCGAAAGTTGCACCGCTCGCAGGTGGTTGGATCCCTTGCCTGCTGCCCTGTCCCCCTTGCGCGATTGCTTGGGCCCACGCGCGCCGAAGAATGCGGAGCTGTCAGCCGAGCGAGCGTACAGGCTCTTGCAGAAGATGAAGTGATGCTTAGCCTGAAAGACGAGGAAATTCCGTTGCGGTGTTTGGGGCTGAGCGATCGCTCGCTGTGGCTTCACACGGGGCCGGCACAAACTCCACAGCCGCAACAAAGCTGGTCTAGAGTTGTTCACCACTGTTTGGTAATGCACTTGGCTATATTACGTTGTTTTCAGCTCCAATGGTTGAATAATGTTGAATATGTGTTGCCCTCAAAGATGATACTGTAGCAAAAAAATCAGGAATTCATCAAGGACAGTGCTCTATCGCAAGCACGTCGATGCTAGTTTTGCCTGGCTTTTCGTGCAGAAACACGGCACCTCCGAAAACCATCAAACCCTGCTCCCAGTCCCAAAGGTCACCTAACCATTCAGAGACTTTGGCAGATGATAGAATTATAAAGAACTTTCATATGGTAAGGCCAGAATCCGTGATTTAAAAAAGAAGTCAACAAAAAGTCAACTGGAAAAGTCAAAGTCAAAAAAACGTCAAATTGAAAAGTAAAAAAAACATCGAAAAAATACAAAAAAGGTCAACCATAGACCACAGCTCGAAAAAATCAAAAAACAGTCAAGAAAAAGAGTTAAAAAAAGTCAAAACTGTGGCTCCTTGCCTTGGCGGATTACTGGAGTCAAGAAAAGGCAATAAAAAAGTCAAAAAAAAATGGAAAAACAGTCAACCATAGACCACAGCTCGAAAAAGTCCAAAAAAAAAAGTCAAAAACAATTCAAAAAAAACAGTCAAGAAAAAGTCGAAAAACAGGTAAAAAAAGTCGGATCAGATCTGGGCAAATTGATTTGTTTTTGACTTTCTGAAAATTTCTGATTTGACTTGTTTTTTGACTTTGACTTTTGGGATTGACTTTTTTGTGTTTATTTTTTTAGACTTTTTTAAATTTAGAAAACAGGCTCTTTCCAATGAAAGTGTTTTTTGTAATGATAGAATGAAGAGATGCGTGTATGTCATGCGGTACTGTGTGCAGCTACACGACTCAGTGGCTTTGGTATTATTGTTGAGTTTGCAATTGTTGAGTCAACGAAGTCGACAATTGAAACCACATTAGGCAACCAGTCAACAACCATTCATCAACGAAGGCGCTGTTTGATCTATCGACCGTCGATCCTCTTCGAGCTTTTAACGCCTTGTCGTTGCTGATCCAGGCTTCGATGAGGCTGCTGCCCTGAAGCTTTGACAAAAAGAGCCCGCAGTGGCGGTGCTTCTCGAGCCTACAGGTGTTGGATGGTGTTGGAGGAGGTTCTTTTTGAGGTGATTTAGGCTAACATTCCACCCTTTTGTGTCAGGATGAGAAGGGACAGTGGTGTCGACCCTTGATTCGGTCTATACGGATGAAGGTCCAGAAGTCCATCTAAATGGTAAAACAAGCATATCGTGTATAGAGGACCGTTGTTCCGTAGTTTCTTCCTGCAGCTTTTGGCTGTGAAAAATCCTTGTTCACATTGTTTCTTGTTTTGCTGGCACAGTTGCCTTTTCTTTGCGAGTGTGGGTACGACCATGGACCATAGTCCCATACCGTATCCATACCCTTTGTAGATGCTGTGCAACTATCAGCGGTTCTGGCCAAGCATTTCCATTGCAATCGAGAGTCCAATCAAGCCTCCCTTGCCCCTTGCGGATTGGTCAAAGATGCTGGAAAATCACGGTAAGATTCCGAATAATGGCTGCTACTCAGGTCAGCGTAACCTAATTCAACTTGCATTTCAGACGGGACCAGCCTCGTTCAGTTCTGAGATGTCAAACGACCAGACTTGACCGACCGAAGACATCAAATTAGGTGTGGCGATATATGTGCCGCCTGCATGTTGCATCTCCAGCTGTTCAAGAACCTTATAAATGTGAAACGGTGAGAGTGAGACACTGAGACGAAATGAAAGTCACATCGGATACAAGATGACACAGCCACACGGTCATACATGTTTAGTTTCATGAAACATGGCATATCATAGAGGCAGCAGCAGATCCAATCGGTATCAAACGATGAGGGCCACATATTGAGGGGAGGTGTGGCATGGTGTAACAAGTCAAGGGAGGATGCCATCCATGTTGCTTTGCAACCATTCTCAATATGTTCCGCATCAACCCATGTTCAAGTAGCATGGAGTGACCTATTCTCCCTCTCAAGCAGGGTGACTCAGTTGGCTCGCTTGACGACAAGAGGTTGCAACCAGCTACTGGTGTTTAGCACCAACAGTCGAACACCATGCATCTCTCGAGCATGCCGTCGAGCCCGCGGCTCTGGCTGCCGCGCAGCGCGCGCAGCGCTTCGCCGGAGCGTGGCATCTCTCCAAGTAGATCTTACATTGTCTTGGGTGGCGTTCCTCAAGGCTCTTGCTGCTCTGCATCCCCAACTTATTCAACGCCTTCCCGGCCCATGTCCCACCTGGCCAGAGTGGCCGTGGCACCCTCCCAAGCTCCACGTTACGTGGGGCTCAATGGGCTCCACGTGGGGCTCAATGGGCTCAAGGCTGGTTCGCGGCTCCCTGCTGGTCCTCGGCTCCCTGCTGGTCCTCGGCTCCCTGCTTCTGCTCCCCCAGCGCCACTCTCTCCCCACAACGCCTCGGGCGATGGCGATGGACGCCGTCCGTTGGTGCTGCTGGCACGACCTGGTGCAGCTGTGATGCAGATCAGCCCAGAGGATGCCCGACCTTCAGAGCCTGGGTCCTATGCGATGGTGGGATGGTGGGATGACTGGGAACGTGCCCAATGGAAGTGGTATGAAGTGGTAATAGACATTCTTGGCCTCTTGGCAGGTCCAGGCCTTTTTGGATCGTGCCACAGGGAAGGAACAAGTTTGGAGTGGTCGACCCAGGTGCCCCCGGATCGCGAGCCTTCTCGTTCAAGCGCCAGAATCTTACGGAGGGACTACCAGATCAGATTGGGCTAAGATGGGCCAACTTCACCTCCCAACTGCTTCAAAGTCCAACCAATGCAAATTGTCTTGGCCACGGGTTGTCGAACTGTCCTGCACCGCCAGAACTGCCCATGAATCTTGACTAGGCCACCGTTCGGTGGGGTTCTTCGCGCCAATCGAATCATATTGATGTTTGCCCTCAGAGAGCCCAACCAGAAGAAGCACCCCTTCTGGTTCCTCAGGAAGACTCACTCGCAAGGCAGCTGCGCGCGCTTCAGGACTCGGCACCGTTGGGTGGTTTGATCTCCACCCCATCTCCAAGGTCTTTCGAAAGACCAGGTCGCTTCTGGGATAAGGATGATAAGGTTAAGTTGAGTACATGGTTAAGTATACAGGTCGCTCATGTACCATAAGGTAGCTGCAGCAGCTCACGTACCATAATGATGCATGCCTTGCTTCTGCGCAGAGAAGTTGGGAGACCTGAACTTGGATCCCAAATCGGGCAGATGGACTAGGCAATGCAGGGCTGTTCAACCCCGCTAGGTTTCTGGAGAATGGCATTTTGATGTTGGTCCTTTGATCCCTTATCGCAGACGCCCAGAGCCGTGAACCGGGTGCCAAGCCGTGAAGCGCAGGAAGCCAAGAACCTGGCCGCCCAAGAGCAGCAGCGCAGTGACGAGCAAATCGCTCGGCGTCAGGCGGCCCCCTTGAATGAAATTTTATTGTTCTGGGGGGGGGGAAGATGTAATACATAGATTTGATTATAGTTTTTATATATGTTAACCGGCACCTGGGTTTCAGTGAGCGACCTCAAGTTCCATTTTTGCAACACCGCCCGGTTCGAAGTGGTAGCATGCTGATCCAATTGAGAGAACCGACCAGCAACCCCAAAATAGATATAAATAGAATCAATAGAATCATGAATTGCTTCCGAATACTGCTGTATAGGCCCTACCTCCATCTATTTACAGTGATTTCAGAGTAGATGGCACAACCCGCAAGATGTCCTTTACACAATGCATAGGGTTCCATATAAACCACCTTTTGGATCCTTTTGGGGATTGTCCCATCAACTCTGAATCCACACCTCGTTGGTCGCGCCGCATCGCGCTGCCCCAGCAGGACCAGCTGAGGCGCGAGACCGTCCGGGTGCTGCAGACCACGCCGCGCCTGCACGACGCGTTGCAGCGGTGGCCTTCACCCACGACACCGAGACTGGAAGTGGTGGCCTTGAGTGGCCCAGCTGCAGTGGAAGCACAGAAGCACCGCAAAAATATGCGAAGACATACTGTATGCTACTGCGATGACAGCATTGGATCCAATTCTAAAGTTGTTCCTTTCAGAGAAATGCGCGTAAAGAAAGGTGGGCGTGGCGGAAGCTTCAACCTTGTGGCAACACATTGAAGACTTAGATCCTTGTGGTCCATTTCGGACATCCCTTCAGGTGAAAAGAGCGCCGCCAGCCCGGAGGAGGAGTTACCCGGAGACTCCTCCACCTTGCCTGCGCCTGAATCCCCAGAACCTGCGAGCAGCATCCTCGTGGGCACAGACTCTGGAATGACAAAGGAAGCGGCGCAGGAAGGGTCGCGCGCACATGAGCGGTCACCTCAGAGCTCGGCTTGCAGCTCGGCGTGTGGAAAAGCGGCCGGGTCCACCTGCGCGGGTTTTTTTGGCGAGTTGGACATAATGTTGACGTAGGATCAATCAACCCCCCCTTCAAGGTCAACAAGGTTTGAGATTGGAGGTATTGGAGACCACATCCTCAGTCACATCCCCTTAATCAAGGTGATGACCTGATGATGGAGGATGATTGTTCTGTGTGAAACATGAGAGAGCTCTTAGATGCTCTTAGTATATTGGCACCAGCTTGACAAGAGATCTGATAGATCACAGCCATGCCAATTAGGATCACTGCATTTGAGAGCATGGAGAAGGAATAGGAGATGGATGCTTTGTGTGATGAGAGTGGATGCCTATACTGGATGGTCAGGTTGGTGGAGTGTGGAGGATTGGTATGACCTCATGGCCTATGACACCCAATAGGAGAGAGATGAATGAGCAGATAGCTAGCGAGTACAGGTATTCCAGTGGGTGTATGGACTGCAACGTTTGGAAATGCACAGCCTATTGGATGAGGAGGGAGGGGAAGAGGCTGGGGAGGAAGATCCCATATGAGTTAAACATTGGCTGCACAGATTGCCACGGGGAAGGATGAGAAGAGCAAGGAGGATGAGAAGATCAAGAAGAAGGATGAGAGCTATTAGGGTAGATCGCTATCTCCCAAAGAGATGGCATGAGAAAAGGGTGGGTCAGAAGATCAGTTTCACCATAGATCAGAAGATATTGGATACTGATCAAAACGAGAATAGTTATAAATCATACCAACAGTATTAAAAAGTACAATTGTAAACTATTGTTCTTCTTTTCTGGGGCAGCTGGGCTTGATCAATATGGGGGGGCTTCTGCTTAGGATTTTAGGGGGGGTGGAAATGTGGCATTCAGGTTTTAGTTCAAATTTATATAGTGTAGTATTGGGGGCTCGAGCTAGGCTTGATCAATAGGGGGAGGTTACTTAATCCTATCAATTCGATTGAGGGACCACTGGAATGTGATGATGTGTCATAAATGGGCAATTCTTTTGGAATTATAATCGTGTTTTCATGCCCAGTTTCACAATGGTTCTGGAAGATCCGTTTCATCAGGTGACCACGTGTTTTTTTGGGTTGGGGCTGTTCTGCAAAACGGCCGGCAATATATTAATAGTTACTGTAATAACCCAGAGTCGTTTTATGTCATTGGGAGGCGCAGGGTGTGAAGGTTCCGGAAGGTCCATGCATGTTAAAGGCCGGCAATTTAATATCCGTCAGGTGTCGCCGGCGTGTCTCAAAACAGGGACCCCATCCATGCTAATTGGCTCTCGCTATGCTAAGTTATGTATGTTTACATTTTGTAATTACATGATATTATATACATAATTACATATCTAGTTCCAAAAAAAAGTAGCAGACTAAAGTCAGGAGTGAATAGTTTATTAAAGGAAATTATTTTCTACTGGATGTTTGGACTAGGCAATGAGTTATAGAAACCCTTCATGTTCAAAACCCAGCACAGATTGCCTCCCATGTCTCTAGGTCGTGAACTGGCCGGTTCCAGTTCCAACGGAGACCTGCAGGCAGGGCTGAGCTTTGTGACATGTCCGGTGGACACACCCTCCCAGCAACCAGAGGTGAACACGGTGCATGGAAGTGGATGGCATGGCTGCCAGGGAGATGCCATTCCTTCCCAGCCTTCGCCATGCTTGAACATGTTCTTTTTAACCCCTTTCCTTTTTCCGCCCGAAGCAACGCACCAGGTGGAGTTGCGCCGCTGTCGCCAGGCCCTGCGCCGCTGCGCCCGAGCCGTCGCGGCCGCGCAGCTCCGGCAGCTGCGTGCGCTGCGCAGACCGCCGCCGCCAGTGGCGAGGAGCGAAGCCAGAGCCGAGCCGTTCGGGCGGCAGGGCCACGGCCACCGGTGTTGCCGCGCATGATGTGGGCTGTTAGGTTTTCTTTACGGAAAGAGGCGCCCACATCGG